ACGTCGTTCAATAGACGAGTATGAACGATAGTGCCCGACGTGGACACCTCAACCGAGCTCCACCGTCGAAGTACCTGCAGGGCAGAACACCCAGCTCGCGATGGGCAGTTCACATCGCGGATGAACAACCCCGATCCGGGTCATGCACCCGAACAAGCGGCTTCGCTCCGCACACCCGATGAATCTCGAAGAATGTCGGGCCATCCAAGGGTCGAAAAAGAAATCTCTCCTCGAGGTCACCACTTAGGCGAATTTGGCCACCGAATAGAAAGCCGAGCACGGGCACGACCTGAACAAAAGAGTTAGGCAAATGTGCCAACAAAATCACAACCACGCACGGGCAAGACTCGGGGCCATAACTTAGGCCAGTTTTAGCACAAAAATATTAAAACATAAACACGGGCAAACAATCAAAAGTCGAAACAAACATTCATTCGAAAAGCCCGTGGGCAACAAAACAAATAGATAAACTGACCAAGAAGGTCGGCGATGTTCAAGAGTTACAAAGAACGGGCACGCAGGCCCAAAAAGTAAAATATGAACGGGCACGCAGGCCCCAAAACAAACATCAATAAAGGAACGCAGGCCTACTGGAATCTCACAGCTAGACTTCCCCGGAGCTATCACCACCGACAACAGGAGACTCGGGCGGGGGCACGACCTGGTCGTCGATGATCTGAGACATGTAACCCGCTCCTTCAGTATTTAGATCGGGATTCAGCAGGGCGAACTGGCTAACTGCGGCCTCAAAGCCATCCACCAAAGCACCAACGCAATCCGCCTCGAGGAGTTGAATGCGAGCAACCAGTTCCGACCGACTTTGCAAAGGAGCTGTCTCCTCCGACTCATCCTCGGCATGGAGCATGGAAGCCTTTAGTTCCTCGACCTCTTTGGCGAGCCGCCCGTTGTCAGCCTCCAAGCGTTCCCGGTCCTCACGAAAGTACTCCCTCTCCTCGGCAATCTTCCCTGAGTTCTCTTTCTCTGCCGCCAGCAGCTCGGCTTGCTCGCGGAACATCTCCTCGGAGCGCTCCAGGGCAGCCTTCAACTTCCGTGAACTCGAAGTAAGGGTAGCTTTCTCCTGTTCCAGCTCCTTGATGCGATCAGAATCTGCCCCCTCCTCGAATAACACAACGGCCATCTCGGCCATCTTGACCAGCCCGGCCATGTTGGCGGCCAGATGCCTCCTCCGACTCTCCTTGCTCAGCCGCCTAATGGTATCTGCTTCATCATCACTCACGGACAAGGGAAATCCCTCGAAGAAACCCTCCTCTTTAAAACAAGGGGGCAACCCAAAGGACCTCACTGCACTAGAGTCCTCGCCGACCTCCGGTTGGCTCTCCACCCGATTCCTCTTCCTTGGTATCAGGTCGGTATGTGGCTCGACATCCTGAGCGTCTGGGGACCCTCCAGAAGCAGCGCCCGGGCTAGTTGGCGGGCCCATCCTCATCGCCTGAGGAGCTCGCACCACTCTCTTGTTAACCTTCTTATCCTGTGTCAGCTTCAGGAGCCTCTCCTTTCGTCCAGCCATCAGACCTACATAAAAGAAGCACGGGTTAGTGACGAGCAAATAAACAAGCGAAGAAAATCAAACAAAACGAAAAAATTAAAAGACCTAGCAGGTTCTTGGCCTGCCCGAAGGACTGGCATTCCACGAGCGCCTTCGTATCGATAGGTCGGGCCTCAAAGGTCGGATAACCATCTTCATCAAGAATATCCTTCCCCTCCCTCGTGGCCCACCGGGCGGGGAAGAAACTATCGATATACCGACAGAGGGTATCATAAGCCTCCTCGTCTTCGGTGCTCATCTCACCCGCGGACGTATGGTAGTACCTGGTGCCGTACTCGTAGTGACGTGAGGTCCAATGCAAAGGAAATTTAGCCACACGCCCTAACACCGGGCGTCCCTCGTCGTCCAGAAGAGCCTCCCCGTGATCGTCGGTGTTGACCGTTTCTTCCTCGTATACCGATTCTAAACCCTTTTTGGTAACCGGCCGTACGATGTACCACTTGTCCTTGAAGCCCCGGACAGAATCCATGTACATCCTGAACAGTCTCTTCGACTATTTTAGGGAAACCCAACTGTGCCTGCCTCCTTGAGACTGGCGCTGTAAATGGAAGACGCGGAAGAAGAGAGGTATGGTCGCCCCAATCTTTAAGAAGCGACACGTCAGTTCGAACGCCCGGAGGAAAGCGATCGAGTTAGGGTGAAGTTGTGACGGGGCCAGTTCCAGATGACTAAAGACCCCGACCTGAAAATCGCTAAAGGGGAGTTGTAGTCCAAGGTCCTTAAAAGCAATCTCATACATGGGGAACCCGTACTCGGGGAATTCCGAGCAAATCCGCGTAGTAAGAGTCGGCCGGGTGACAACGAAATTCTTCTGAAAACCGGGCTGGCTACCGCCCTTCTCAATGATGGTATACGCATTTCGACTGCGTCAACTATAGGCTGAAGCAATCCCTCTGGGCTCGGCGCCCACCCATTCCAGCAGAGGATCGTCGATGGTATCGACCAAATTCACATTCTCCTCGGCACTTTAGTCTTCCACCTCAGTGCGCCCCGAGGAACACGGTTCGTCCGCCATTTTACCTACAAAGCACAGGAAACCGGTCAATTGGGGAGCAAATCCACACGCTCGCCATAACGGACGGGATGAAGGGCGCGACAAGCCGTGTCACTCCATGCATGACTAAAAAAGTTGGTGTTTCGAAACAAAAAGAGTAGTCACCTCCCCGACTCCCAGATACCATGACAAGTCTCCCTACAGATCGCCTAAGTGGGCCAACATCTCGACCACTCACGAATGTGTCGACCTAGGCTATGGACATGGCGAGCGATATCATAAAACCCAAAACTAGATCTATGAGTTTACCGGGCATTACCACAAATTAGGCGCCATGAATCATGAAGATCCCGGGCAGCGCTGCGAGTCAAATACCTAAACTATGCATTTGCCGAGCATAAACATGGATTTGGCGAGCCAAATACGAATATACCGGGGCTAATCCCAGGCGTACAGTCTTTAACGTCTAAAAACAATGAAAAATATCATGCATCACAAAGGAAAAGCAAAGGGGACAAGACGCTTACTTGGAATCAGGAAAGAGGTGCGACGGCGGAAAAGGGAATCAGCGACGGAGATCACGGCGGTCCTATGAATATCTGGGAAGAACAGTAGCAGCAGAGGCAGAGGAAAGAGGAGAAGCGCGAAGAGGAAAAACACGTTCTAGGGCCCAAGGACCCTATTTATAGTGATGACGTGGAATACGAAACGTCACCCCGGGGAACCACAAAACTTCCCTCCTCGACGCGTAGCTCCCCCAGGCAATGATGACCCTACCGTCAGTAGGGTGGCGGCACGGTTCCCAAGAGATGCCTCGTGTGCTCAACGAACACAGCCCGTCAAGATTCCCTCGAGCACTCCTCGAAAGGAATTATCTCACAAGCCCGACACAATGGAAACTCCTCGAGCAAACAACGGGGAACTACATCTCTTATCCGGGCACGAGACCCCGCAGCGGAGGCGATCTAAGATCAAGTTATGGCTCATACTCCAGGAACCACGACTTGGGGGGCTCCTGTTCTGGACTGGGCCGGGCTGGCCCAAAAGTAAGGATGAAGGCCCAATCCAAACGGTCCTACAGGGGATCACACCGACCAAGAAAGTACAACCTTGTCCACGACATCCTCGATGCAATACAGTCCAGCTCGACCTTAGCTCGAGCGCTCCTTGTAGGGCAGACCACAACCATTACGCCACCACCTGGTTTCCGAAAAGACCGCGTCCCAGTCCGCCCGTATTTCTCGCAGAACACCCAGGAAGGAGACCACGTGCGGGTCCCCACTACACACGTAGAACCTGGTAGTTCCTTCATTTAGGCCAAACCTGCCCGGCCCAATGAAGGGACCTTGGCCCAGCGCTGGGGGCTATAAATACCCTCTGTTCTCAGAGGATCAGGTATTCATTCTCTTACCCATACTCATACTTTTTGCCTGCTCGTACTCCCACTTACTTTAGCATCGGAGTGTCTTGCAGGTATCCCCCATCTCGTTCAACTTCAGCTCAGAGTCAGTCGTGACGGTCCAGGTCTGATCAGGTAAGATCAATAATAATAACCGAATATTTAGATATAAATTGTAGCCTAAAAAATAACACTATTTTCTTTTAATTTTTGCATAAAAAATAAGAATTTACTATAGTAAATTTATGTGTCAACAATGTTCTACTTAGATGGTAATAAACTAAAGATTATATCTTTAAATTATTTTCAAAAAGATTGTATTTTCTTTTAATTATATAATTAAATATTTATTTATTTACTATTAATAACTCATTAATAATTATAATATAATTGAGATTTAAATAAAACATAGTATTTTTATTACATGATAATTATTTACATTCATATAAAATGAATACTTTAAAAAAAAGTATATTTAGTTTATTTTGAATTTCATATTTCATTTTAAAATTAATAGTTGACAAATTAATGAACGGATGAAACCTAAATTAAATGTTATTTTATAAAAATAATATTAATTGAACACAGTTTAATATATGTTTAAAATATCTAAAAGATGAACTCTAAAAACTATGTAAATAATGTTAAAAAATTTAATAATTATTTTAAAGATGATTTTTTTAAATTTTTTTCACTATTGAAGTACTTGATTTTTTAAAATACCCGATATTTTTCCGAAAATTCCAAAAAAAAATTCCAGAGTTTTCTTGAAATTTTCAGTACCCTAAATTTTCGGGAACTGCCATATATAAGTGTGGGGTGTCATATTAAATTCACGCCTTTCTGCAATTCCCAATGTCCAGGAAAACCGATTGAGTGTAAATGAAAAAAAAAATCTTATTCTCTCTATTTTCCATTTGTAATGATTGAAAATAAAATTTAGACGGCCTATATAAACGTTAAAAATTACAACATCCAGAAATAAGGAAAACCAAACTCATTTTAGCTTCTAACTCCTAATTTATTTGTTGATGAAAGAATTAAAAGTAACTCGAATCCCCTAGTAGTAAATCAAGCATATCATCAGGAGTAAGAAGAGTTGTTCCACCAACAAGCAACTCTATATCAGGTCTTCCGCTTTCAGCCAGTGCCTCCATTGCTTCACGCACCTGGGTGAAGAAAAGTAACACACAATCAATGTCATCGCTTAGAAAATATTTGTCGACTTGATAGAAACCAACTACTTAGATGTCGGGAAATAGAAAGAAATATAGATGAGACCAAGGCATTCAAGAATTTTACCTCTAGTCCATTAATGCCCCCAATGACAAACACCAAAATGACATTTTGATCAGCAAGACTTGGTTTAGCCTGCAGCATTTGAATTGACAGGAAGGATAGAAAAGGGAGAGAAAAATAATGATTAGCATATTTGAAAAAATGGACGACAAAACAAAAGTCCTGCATAAGTTAAGGAACCATAATCACCTGACCAAGGCCAAATCTTCCAAATCCACTCTTAAACAAGCGCCCCACTGTGGAAGAATGGTATTCTAACCCAAGCACTTCGTACTTTCCCAACACCCTAGTCAGTAGCTTATAAACCAACCCTTTTCCTACATAGGTATCCTCGTCAAAATTGCCTCCCACAGTCAATGAACCATCCCTCAATGGTACATTCTTTCTTTTCAGATCAGATAATTTATGAAGAAATTTGAAAAAGTTATCCACCCTATCACGCAACTCCAACTTTAGTTGCATGTCACCATATACTTGTTCATTTTTATTATCATCCTCATCATCTTCTTCACCCCATTTGCCCCACTGATCATCATCAAAATCATCAATCTCCAGCACTTCTTCGGTAGCTTCCTCTGATTTTAACTTGCTTACATTAGCTTCAAGTTCTTTCTTTAGTCCATCTAGAAACTTTAGATTTACTACAGATGGGTTTTCAAGAAGAGCATCTACAACGGCTTCTTTTAACAGACGTTCCTCTTGCCAAGAAAATGGCCCATCAGAACTAGATGTTGGAAAATTCTCACCTGCCAAAATATATCCGATGATCATTAACAGCAAAGCATCTTGCAAAGAAATCAGACCCTTTGAGATATCTCCTTTCCCTTTATTTACTTGTGATCCCAACAGAGCACTCTTATTTATGAGATCGCCAATTTGAGCGGCAAGACTTTGACTAGTTTCTCCAGAGCTTACACTCAGAATTTTCACTGCACTGCTAAATGCATCCCATTTGGTGCAATTTGATTCCTCAAGGGCTGATAATGTGGCTGATGCTAATTGGATAATTCCTTTGTTCCTTAGAAAAGATGATTGGCTCCTGGACAATGCTTTGATCATAGCTTGCAACTCAGGTGTTGTAACAACAGAAGGACGGGATTTCACATTAACAGTAACATTTTCCCTGCGCAAAGTTTCTTGTAGCCATTTTTTTACCAGTAAGGCCCCATCTTTTGTTCTTCTATCTAGTATAGCTTCCAAGAATGGCATGCCGCGAAAATTATCAGAGGAGACAAAAGACCCAGTGAGTATATCTATACCGGCATGACTAGGCTTGTCATGAACTTTTCGACTAAGATTAATCAAGTCTGCAACATGAGAATCAGAATTACCAGAGTCCCACCCGCATAAAAAAGCTTCAACGCTCTCTAAAAGCCGAAAATTGTCTATTTTCCAATCTTCTTCATTAAGGATCTTTGCAAGTGGTATCTGAACATCTAAAGGAGCACGTTGAAGGTAAGAAGAACCAAGTTTGAGTTGACTTCCTGAACCTACGTGGGAACTTGTTCTTTCTCTACGGGGCAAAGCAGAAAATATACGGTCAATAAGTGAGTCCCCGTGACAACAAGGAGTGAGAAGATCGAGTGTGCGATCAATGAGTAAAAGCCCTGCAGACCGTTTACGGCGGCCTATGTCATAAAGACTTGACATGTCAGTCAAAATTTTCCCAACAGTTTTTGACGTATCACCGAGGGAGAAAATTTCCATTTTCAAGTCCATCTATGCCATAAACAAAAGAAAAAATGGTCAAGGTAACAAGTTAGAGTATAAACAACAAACAAAATGGTACTCTAAATGATGGAAAATATAGCAATATTTTCTATCAAAGGGGTAACCCAGTGCACGAGGCTCCCATTTTATGGGCTCTAAAATCCTATTCCCTATTAAGTGGGGTTAGTTACATGAATTAAATGACACCCTCATATTCTATTAAATACCAAGTTTTTGAAAAGGAAATATAGATCAAGGTCTATTTCAATCGGTAACAATCTTAAAAGATAAGTTTCATTCAAGTATTATTATTATTTTTTTCAAAAAATGGCTTTAAGTGATGCTGGCATGCAGCAGTTCTATGACAGGTTTTTTATGATTACAAGGTTTAAACAAGGAAATATACACCCTCATATTCTTAGAAATTTTTATCCATAAGAAAAATCATGAATTCAAGTCAGCAGAAGTTGCTGCACACATTTCAGCCAAAGAATATATGTCATCCGTTACCTTGGCTGCCAAATGGTAGAGAAAGTGTGCCGTAAGAGTTGCCCCAGGAGGCACATCATCAGTATTGGAGAGCAAGCCAGTACTCAAGGGAGGCAAACCAGGACTAATGGAATCTTCATGTTCAGCTGATAAGTATGATTCAGACACCAGTCCTTCTGAAGGGAGAACAAATGCTCTGGGGGAAATGGGACATAAAATCATGGGGAAATGGTGAACAGAGATAACCAATTTCTGCACAGTATCTGCAATATAGTCTAATGGATTGTTTTCAAAAAAATCTCTTCCACTTGAACTAGCTTCAAGATGAGGAACATCCTCTCCACCGGAAGAAAACTGCAAGCGGCCTCCATCTTCAAGGTTAAGTTTTTCCTGCAAGAGGCTACCAATATGCCTGGGTTTTTCCCCAGATTTTTTACTTAGCTCTTCATAATCTTGAACCAGTAAAGATTCATATTCATGATATGCATCTGGTCCGAGAGGTGAATCAGGAAACACTGAGTGAGCCATCTGCATTTTAACTAGAGTTATAAAATCCAAAAAAAGGATAAAAATGAAAAAAAAGCTGGTGGTAGGAAAGAAGTGTTGGAAAAGTAACTGTTAATTGGTATTAGAACTACATTATCGCATATATAGATAAATAATCTTACCCTTGTTTTTTTTTTTTTTGTAACAAACTTTTTACCATTGAGATGATCATTGCTTATAAAGATTGGACTCATCTAAAGTAAGCAATTCACTTTGGAAGGCAAAGTAAGTATTCTTAACCATAATGAATAAATCAGCAGTTGATATTAAGAGCACATACACACCAAACCGTAAATGTGTTGAGATTAACTAATGTATCTTCCAAAAAAGTTCACTTTAGAGAAGCTAAATCCTTCAACTAAAAAATGATTTCATGCATTCCCTTTCGTGAAAAATGGTTGCAAAAATGTTCACTTTAGAGAAGCTAAATCCTTCAACTAAAAAAAGACCAGTAACTAATTTTACCATTGCAACAAAAAGACAGAGACGTCATTATTATATATGCCAAGTTAATAGTGTCATATTCTAAAACTATCTCTGGGTTTAGGTAAAAAAGATTGATAATAGAATTGCATGGTCAAAGCAAAAACTAAATTGGAATATGATGCTCCAATACTGAATTACATATAAAGTTAACCTCATTCTAAGAAGAAGAAAAAAAGAGCATAGCTTTCATCCAGATCAAATTATTCCAAAAATATGAACTAAGACTTGTAAATAAATATTTGACATGATTGTGTCATAATTTTAAGAAAAGACACAGCACATTCTAATCCAGAGTTAAAATCAATCTTTTTTTTATAAATATAGGTAAAACTAGCATCAATTTTATACAACATGGAACAATAATACCCAAACATAAACAGCCAAGAAAAGAAAATATAAGGAAAAGAGAAAGAGAAACGAGCAGAAACAGTAAATAAGCACCTCGGAGATAGATGTAAATATAGTGCAATGACGAACAACTTGATGTGATGGAAGACAATGCAAAATATATCGATGTGCGTCACTTAGTAGGCGCGATATGATAACCACAAGTTTTGTCGCAGGCTCAGAATGCGAGTTCCAATCACCCACCTAATAAGGAACTGTCAATAAAAGTATATATAATGTAGCTAACTTAAAAGTAGTCATAATCTATTATAGAACCAACTCCTCAGAAACTCACCGCATCAAGTACAGTCATGTTTTCCAAACTACAGACAGCCCGCGCTCCGAGCTCAAGAAGTACAGGATATGCCCCAATAAATTGGAAACTCTCTGTAGCTCCAGCATCTAAATAAACAACTGCACCTTCAATATGTTCTGATATCTGAAAAAGAAGAGGAATGACGAAAATTCGAAAAATAATTAAAAGAAAAGGATCATAACAATAATGCACCCTAAAATTATACAAACATAACCAAAATCAGCACTTAAAATATAGAATTGGTATCACGGTTTGTAGAATTTGGATACCTGTCTAATGGAGTCGATGCAGGATTTGATGACATCGACGGAAGCCATGTTATCTCTTCTCCTTTTTCTGCTTCAGCAAAAGAGAATTACTTTGAGCACAAAATTGATGCGCCGAACATGCGATGGAGAGCTGAATTGGGATAAAGTTGCATTCGTTGGGAAGAAATCGCGTAATGTTTTGAAATTGGGAATTGAGAGGAAACGGATGAGAAGTATGTTCCAGATTCTGATAGAAGAAATTGCGATTGGAGAGGGCGGATCCTACTGCTCGGCTTTGCTCCTTTCTTCTTCTTCTTTCCTCTCCTACACAGGACAGTCACAGCACAGTCCGTTTTCTTATGGGTGATAAAACTAAAAAGAAAAAAGAGTTGCAACTCTTTCTTTTTCTTTTTTTTTTCTTTTTCCAAATATGAGTTTGAAACTTTTTTTCCTATAATATTTTCTGTGACAGATTGTTAATAAAACATTGAGTTATTTGTGTTAATACTTCAGCAATTTTGATATTGTTCTCCTTTGGAAACTAGATTGATGTTGGATGAGATGAATGTTTGTTAAGGTGGTTCAAGACTTTCGATATAGTGGAGAAATGAGCTGATCTTTCATTGTTTGATATATTGGTTCAAGATTTCTAATACAGTAGAGAAACATATTGATCTATAAAGTTATTACTCCAACGTTCAAGTCATTAAGAGAATGAGAAGAGATTTAAATACATGTGAGATGAGGCGCTTTCCTCTGTAAATAGAGGGTGTGGTTGATGATTGCATGTGTGTGAAACTTCGTGATATGCAATCAATCGTTGGACTAAGTTGAGATATTAGCATGAAATTTGTGTTATGGGCATTATGTGATGCAGAAAAAAGCAAGAACACTTGTTCTTCACATGGTGATTCACTTTCCTGTAATTTGGCCTTCGTCTCACGGGATTAGCGGACGACCTCAAACAATTTCCCTCAAGCCCTTAACCCTACCTTGTAGGTCGAGGGATTGTGACACATACTATTGTTCAACCATGGGATTTGTGGACGTGGTAGCCCCTAGATTGGATGTTATTGCTCTTAGAGTACTCAAGTTCCCCATGCCATTTTTGAGGAAATCCTAATTGTTGGTAGTGCGAGATAGATCGTACGGTCCTTGGCGCTTAAATGACATATAAAGGATTTTCTGAAGTGTTATCTTTCCTTTTTGTTGTAAGTTGTTGGTTAAGATAGAGTTTTTGCTTCCTCTATCGCCTTTTCTTGGAAGTTTTTGTTTCGGTGTTGAATCAAACTCAATGACTTTGTTCGTCGACATTAGTTTTGCATGTTGGGTTGATCCTTATTCTGAACTCGGAGTTCGTGTTTCTCTGTTCTCGCCTTCCTTCACTAGAGCTCCCATGATATGAGTCACTTGAATTTGCTCACTTTTAATTGTACATCGATCAGTTCTGTCAACATTATATATCATTGATTATGGTGATAATATTAAGTTCGACTAAGAAAGCTGAGAAGGATATCTCAGGCGATTGGGTGGATCCCAACATACTGGGGTTGTCTCTGCCTTTGTTTGCAAATATGTATTTGATCGAGTTGTGTTTTTCCCGCGGTTGATTGAGGGGTGTTTCCCCCCAAATAAAGATAAGAGGGTCTACAACCAATATTGCATATGTGATATCCCTTTCCATGAATGTTTTTTCTCTGCCATAGAATATCATCTTCCTTTTAATGAATTTGAAATCGAAGTGTTAAATCATTTGTTGATCGCCCCTTCACAGTTTCACCTAGTGAGTAGGACATTGTAGCACCCTAAATCCCACACACAATTTATCATAGAATTTAATCAAACAAGACACAAACCACTTATGGTGTCACCAAAATCAAACATAGCCTGCTTTGCAACACGAGTTATAACAAAATATTTTATAACTTATCATCTCGTGCTCACCTTCACTTAAAGTATCATCGCAATGAATCATCATTAAAGCAATTAAAATACAATATTGCAACTCTCAAAAACACATGATCCTCCTCTTGGAACTCAAGTGCCTTCCTCATATTTTTGTGGTAACTTTTCTAATAACTATGTGACGCCTTCACCTTCTCTTGGATCATCTTGATCTTCTCGATTGTCTATTGAATAATCTCTGATCCGAGCACAACACTCTCGCCTGACTCATACCAACACAAAATGAGTTCTACACCTCATATCATAAAATGCCTTATACGATGACATCCCAATACTAGAATGACAAATTATTGTTGCAAGTAAACTCAATCAATGACAAGTAACTATCTCAAGCACCTCCTTGATCTAGCACATAAGACCTTAGGAAGTCCTCAAAAGACTAGATGATCCTCTCTGTTTGACCATCCATCTGTGGATGATAAGCAGAACTCAACTTCATCTTAGTATCCAAAGCAGCTTGCAAACTTTCCCAGAACATTGATGTAAATCTCATATCCATATCTAACACAATACTCGAAGGAATACCATGTAGTTTCACAATTTTATCAATATACAATTCATCTAGCTTCTACAAGGAATAATTGGTCTTCATTGGTATAAAATGAGTCGATTTGGTCAACCTATCCATAATCACCCAAATTGAATTAAGCCCCTCCGAAGTCTTCGCCAAACCTGTCAGAAAATTCATGGAAATCTTAACTCATTTCCACTCTGGAATATTCAATGGTTTCATCAGACCCAACGGTTTCTGATGTTAAATATTTGACTTCTAACTTATTCAGTTTTCTGTAGTCTACACACAACCTCGTATTATCGTCTTTCTTCGTAACTAGTAGCACTGGCGCATCCCACGTGGAAACACTTGGTCGAACAAACTTCTTCTCTAGCAACCCTTCCAATTGTTTCTTCAACTCACTCAGCTCTAACATGGACATTCTATAAGGAGCCACTGACATTAGACTCGTACCCAATACTAGGTCGATGGCATATTCCACCTTGCGTTATGTCGGTAATGTCATACCCCAAAATTGCCCTACTGATATTACTAATCAATTTATCCCTTTTTTACTAATCTAGGCATTATCATATTCTTTGGTTAAAGTTATGATATAAATTTGTACTGTATTAGTTGCCAATTTTAAAGTTTGTTTTGATATAATGGGGGTTTGAATTTTAGGAGGGTGTGCTTATGAAAGGGGCTTGTTATTTGATCTAAATCTTACAGCTCATTAAAAGTTATTGAAAGGCCCATTTAGAGGTTGACCGAAGTCAACATCTTTCTCTTTTTGATTATTATATTTTTTATTACTTTAATCATTCATTTTTTATTTTTTTGTTAACAATATATTATTATTTTAATTATTATTAGGCTTAAATGCAGTTTTGGTTCCCCTATATCCATTTTGATAACCTTTTAGTCCCCATTTAAAAAAACCAGCTTTATGGTCCCTTAATATTATATTTCATGTTTTTTTGGAGGTCCCCCGTAATACAACAACCTCATTTGCACATGTGGCATTAAAATATATGAGGTGGCATCTTTTTACTGTTGCCATGTCACTAAAAAATAAAAAATTATTATTATTTTATTTTTCTTATAATTTTCTATTTAATAATTAAATGTTTTAAATTATTTTAATTTATTTATTTTATTCATATTCATTTAAAAATTAAATATTCTAAAATTTATAGATGGGCCTAGTGTACAACTTCTTTACAAGAGCAGCTTAATCTCTAACATTACATTAAACCAAGTACAAAAGTCTTATATAAACACTAAATTTTTTACTTCACAATTTGATGTGGGACTTAAAGATGCAAGCAAAAATGAATTTCTCCAGGAATGCCCCATTAAACCAAGCACAACCATGTTCATCTCCAAGTGTCAATTCACCATACTCAAAAGCACCACCTTGAGAAACATGAAGTTCTCTAGAACTGTTAATTCCTTTACAAACCAAAAAACCAAGTGAAATCAAACCACAAACATGTGAACCACCAGCCACAATACTCAACATAGACATGTTCCCAAACTCAATTGAGAACCCGCATTAGATACACTCGACCATAATTCTTTGCAATGACAAAAATTGCAAAGGCCAACACAATTTAAAACCATCTAGCCAACCACCATAATATTGTTATGAAACCTATTGGGATGACTAAAGAGAAGCAACTTTCATTTAACAAGCATCATAGGTGATTGCCGATTGAAAATGTTTCTGACATGACCTGTAGATGGGAGATTTGACAAGAATTTCGACTTAATACGCCATCTTCACTGTATGTAGGTGTTCACTTGCTCAACTACATTGAAAATTACTGTCCAAATTGTTTTGATTTTGTAGCTAAAAATATTCCTCGTGTATGAACATTACAGCAGAAATTTACAATTTCTAGAACTCACAATTGGAGAATACGAACAGTTGAGACTTGGACACATAGAATCTGGATCCAGCATATATGTACCTATCTACATTTTGGCATGAATGTTTTAAACCAATGAATTTAATTGTAACTAACTATCATTCGTTCACTTTAAAAGTGTAGATGTAGATTAGATGGGTAGCTTCAATAGCCTATTGAATTCGTAATTTCAAATCTGTAAAAAATTTCTAAACAAACAAAGTAAAGTCTAATACATGATGAATTTGCCTTTCATTACATGATTCAATATTTGACTCTAATTAGAAAGAACTAGTTAAATTCACATCATTAAATATAAATAAAATAAATTAATTAAAATAATTAAAAACATTTAATTATTAAATAGAAAATTGTAAGAAAATTAAAATAAATAAAAATTTAATGACGTGGAAATAGTAAAAAGATGCCACCTCATATATTATAATGCCACATATGCAAATGAGGCTATTTTGTTATGGGGGACCTCCAAAAAAACATGAAATTTGATATTAGAGGATCATAAAGCTGATTTTTTTAAAATGAGGACTAAAAGGTTATCAAAATAGATATAGGGGGACCAAAACTGCATTTAAGCCTTATTATTATTAATATATTGTTGGTATTACCGAATTATTATTATTTTCAATATTATTGTTTTACATTTTATTGGGTTCATTGACTAAAAGTCAACACAAGGGTAAGAAACTCTAATACCAGTAGTGACGCTACTGTCCTTCTTCAACCCTGTGACGATTAAAGCCCAGATCCAGAAATCTAAATTGCAAATCAAATAAAATCAAATCAGAGTTTACAGAAGAACAAATTTATTGATGATGATTGATGAATGTACAGGCAATTTCATCCAAATACATAATCAGACTACAAGCCCTAATTTTAATTTACAACAAAATCTAATATAATCCTAAATTAATTCAATCAAGATTAATCTCTAACAAATTTAAGATTTCGTGACTGCAAATCAACAATGTAATTTCATAATCTAACAAACTTCTAGGCCTATAAAAGCATAATCCTAAAACTAAGAGGGGGACCGAAAAATTGAGGAAGAAAAGAAGGAGAATAAGAGGATTTGGGGACG